ATATGGAATGTGAAGCAAAATCCAACCATGGAGTGTGAGAGTGAGATGCAACACCTTGTAAAGTCTCACGTTTTCAGCATACACCGGACGTTGCTGAGAGGCTGTCGTTTTGTCCACTGCTGTGAAAAGTGTAATTTTAAGTTAGTTAAGCACTAGTTTGTGACAGAGGAGGGGGTGTTTTGGCTTCAGGATGGGGGGTAAAACATGTAAAGGTGTATGTGCACATCTGTATGTATGTACATGTGTGTGTGGGCCTTGCGTGCATGCATGCGCGAAATTGTTGCTGGTGGGCCCCAGCATGACTGCTGAGGTTGGAGCAATCATATGTTCAGCTGTGATTTCCATCAACACATTCCTGGACGCTCACACACTCTCTCAGTGGAGCCGCGCACAGCACCCCCCAAGGATGTGACCTGCAGCCTGCAGACACATGGCTGCCTCGCAAGCGCTTATCACAACACAGCAGCCTGCAGGATAATGGGAGGCCTTAATCTGAAGCCACGTGGAGCCAAGCAAACTTTGACTAGTGTTGCTCCTTCACACTGGCCTTATAGAAAACAGTTGATGATATACTACACCGTTCTGCAGAAGGCCTGTAGGTCTTACCATGCCAGACTGATTACGGGGTAGAGGTCAGACCAAACGGACAACAAATGGTCCCTAATCCTCTACACTGGGGGTTGGGTATAGGGCTGGAAACACCACTCAGGAAAAGGCAGCAATTGTTACAGAACTGGCTAAGAGGGTATGTGATATTCCAGACCACCATGACACCAACTTACACACATGCTCTTGTGAATTGTGTCACAATGCCGGAGTTGGCAAAAAACAAACAATACAATGGGGAGAAAAGTCCTGGGGATTCAGAGAAGAATGTAAAAATTGATCCACTGATTGATATCAGGTTTCAAAAGTGCAGCCTCAGAGAACGTGAGAGTATTAACATGAATCTTGAAACATTGAAAACAAGCAACTTAGGCGTTCCAGCTCAGCAGAACATCCAACCATCTGTGCCGAATAATTGCTCAGTAACTGGCACTCGATCGGCTGACAGTGTGCATTTCTGTTCTGCCGGTCAAACAGAAAGACATGGGTAAAATCCCCAAACAGGCCCAATCATTCAACGTTATTGGCGAACTGCATGGCTGGCGCGAAGCCAGCCATGCACTGCGTGCTTTAAAATGCACAAGGGGTTCAGTTTAGGTTCAGTCTTGAACACGGTGGTTATTTTTTCCCGCTCTCTGCAATTTCCACACCATGCTCAACGTCTCGGCTCAGAAAAACAAAGGTGTCGCATTTGCCTGATATTGATATGGGTTGGCTTGAAATGAGTAATGACCAGTTGTAGTATCAATAATGAGGGCTTCTATGTGTGTTCTGTTTATGATAAGTGGCAGGCTTCCCCTCTACATACTCCTTTAGCTTTAAGTACAGTAGATCCATCACTTTTTGTTTAAGGTATTTAACTCAGGGCGACGCATCAGTTTTTTTTGGCACTGTAATTTCTAATTGCAGCTTTGCACATCACCTTCTAAACTACTGTGTTCAAACTTGTTGGTTAAATGTGAAGCTGTGTTTGGAATAGCGGAAATGTCCCAACTTCCAAAAAAGGGAAAGGCTCCCTAATTAAGGGGGGAGAAAATAAACAAATAATTAAAACAATTAAGAGCTACTTTCACCCTTCACCTCACACAAACACAGTGTGTCCAATGGCAGTGAGGAGTCTGCTGAGCTTGTGGTGGCCTGTATTCACCATGTGGTGGAGCTGAGTGATGGTCTCCCAAATCTGCCTCCACCAGAACAGACAGCAGGCACTACGATCACTTTTCTGTCTGCGCAAGGCGGTATGCAAAAGCCAGAATCTCTAATGATTGCATTTTCCTCAGAGACTTTGATGAAGCCGGTCCAAGCGGTGTTAGCATGCTTGGCTCTACACATGACTGTCGACCTCAGATACAGTAGGTGTCTCGGACAACGATAGCAAGCACTAACAGCATTTTAAAATGGGTGTGAAAGTCTCCTCTGCAACACGGCGGGCTCTTCTCTTCCTCTTCTTCATACTTTTCTCTCCCTTTCTCAGTGTCTGCCTCTTTTTCTCTCGCTGTATCCCCCTTTCGTTCGCTACCCTAATGTCTTTGTCTGCTTCCTGTCATGCATTCCCTAATTTTGTATCCAACCCCCCTGCTTTATTCACGCTCTCCTCTTCTTTTTTCCTCCCTCTGTCCATCTACATCTGCACCCCTCCCCTTGCTCTCCCTCCCTAGAAGGCACACATACACAGATAATACTGCGGATACATGCTGCTTCGGCAACATACTGCAGCAGGCGAGCGCACTCCACTGCAGCCCTTTAACACAATAGCCATTTCTCTTATGACCTTAGGGTGACGAGCAGCCCTTGGTCTTAAAAGAAAATATGTGTCTTATGCTTCAATATCAAGCAAAAACACACATTTGGCTCAAACCATTTCAAAAACAACCTGTGTCATGGCAGACAGAGCCCTTTATTGCCACCCTACCAACGAAATGTGTTTTTTTTCCCCCTCAAAATCAGCACATTTTAAGCATTTCATCAACCGATGACAATCACAGCAACAGGCACTGTTTCCTGCCACTTCCCTTTTATTGGCATATGTAGTTTCAGCGAAGCCCTCCCCCTGCCTATGGACATACCACCCCTGATTCGCCCCGTCTTGCCTTCTCCCCTGAAGCATGACGGAACTAGGCGTGCTGTTCGAACACAATGGGACTTTTTTTGATTTAACAGTGAACATTCACACATACACAAAATCACAAGGAAACACCTCCGAGACAGACATGCGATGATCACGGCGCTTGATAGGACACACAGTGATGCCATTGTGTGGATATCCAGCCAGGAGTGATGTAAAGAAACGTCACTGTTGACAGACACACACTCAAAGAACACACACAAAAATGTGCATAAATGTACACTGTTAAACAAATCTTTGACTATTACTGTAGCAACTGGTTTAACCACCTTTTGCTGCAGAGTAGTGATATAATGTGTTAAAACAGTGTGTGATGAGAGTGGAAACGCTGTCCGGTGTGCTATAACATTGCTCAGTCCGGTTTTATCCATTGTGGCTACTGTATGTCTCAGCCCACATGTTCACTCCTTTGTAATATTATATTTTCTTTGATATTTTGGCATTACAAGCTTTTTTGCCTGCTAGGATCATCATATAGAGTTTCACAGGCAAGTGGTCACATGTTCATGAGCCTTCATTAAACACTCGTGCAAACAGGTGCTACCACCAGGGATTCCCCCGACCTCAGGAAGTATAGTTTAACCTGATATATATTTAATTAAATGTGAGATGGTGATTACCATTTAATTTGTATATAAATGTTGGCAGTGGGGCTTTGAGTCTTGCGTCAATTACCTTTTAATAAATGACATGCATAAAAAGAAATCTATCATTGCTCTGGAATAAAGCCAAGTGTCATAATAAGCGTACAGCAAGTCACACGATCCGGCTATAAAACTCAACAGAAACTTTTTGGATGCATTTTAAAAAATTAGGCGATGTGAAGCCCCATTTAAATACAAGATGGATGACTTGTGCTCAATTGTTTGCTGGAAATCAAACGTGCATATTGGAAACACTGAGAGTCAAACACAATGGGCCCTTTCTTCTAAAAGAATAGCTGCTAGTCTGATGATGCATCTCAGCTTAAGTCTGCTAACTGTAAACAAAAGGTGGCCTTGACAAATATAGAGAAAGGAGGGAGAGTCATTATTTAGCCTGGATGTGAATACAAGGACGCTGAGTGATGGCTCAACTCCAGTCCCGCTTCTCTTTCTCTTTTTCCAGCTACAGCTCTCATGCCAGTGTGGGATTCTATGAAATCATCCCGTTGTCAAGGTCAGTGATGAGAATAGTGTGTATGAGAAACCTCCAGAAGCACCACTTCATCTTCAATGGTGGAAAGTTACTTGGTACCTTTACTCAAGTACTGTCATTATGTACTGTCTGTACACCCTGTTGCTCTACAAATAATGTTTCATGTAGTATTAAAGGTTAATATAAACTCTATTGATACCTTGGTAAAAATGTACAAGCTACGCAGCAGCATATATAGTAAAAAAGATAAGCTTCAAATTAACCAGCTGCAAATATTTTTAAAGACGAACTGAGTACTTTGACTAACTTCTTATTCTCCGACTCTCCAAAAGCAATGATGTATAGTGAATATATACATTTCGTCAAGACATGGTTTACTTGCAATAGCATAAATATGTCATCATCACCCATGTTAAGTTTTCTAAAAAAACAACATTATCTGCCCTGACTCTGTTCAACATCACAACTCTTTGTCTGCACTGCATCAAAGTCTAGAGACATTATTTAGCGAGCTTCCGATAGAAAATCCAGGTGTGTGAAAGACAAGCTGCCGCATAGTTCTCCGTCCACCGGATAATATCAAGTCATCCCTTGATAGAGGCAGAAGCAAAACAACATAAATTATATCTGAGCTGCAAATGTCTTTACTGTATATGTATTCACATATTTCTTTATACTGGCTACCCACAGCAGCCACAAACTCCCCACCCGCACTGCTTGGAACAAACACAAACTCACCACCCCACCAAAAGGAAGCAGCTGTTATCAAAACTCTTTCATCTGCTACAGTACTTTGCAAAACTCACAAACGTACACACAACGAGTCAGTTAGATTTGATCACACACTGCAAAGACGATTCTTGTTTCCTACTTTCATATTGTGTCAAGCTATGTTTTACTGTATACCGCATTGTTGTGTGCAATGTCGTTTTGTGGGATTTCACAGCTGACCGCAGTCAATGTAACACGGAGAGATCACACCGTACATTTAAATTCCATTCACCACCAAGTACAATGTACTGTTCCAGCGATTAATGGGTCACAGACACATGTGTGGACAGTTGTTCTTCATGCATGTTACTGTTTGCAATGGCTCCCTTTCATCTATCGTTTGCCAAGAGAGCAGTCATACCAACAATGTACATCTTGTGCCACTTCACGTGTTGCTTAGGTAGGTAGTACTCACTGCTTTGGACGTTAACAGTGCCGGTGGAGTTGTCCTTTCCCAGCGCGTTCTCCACCACACACGTGTAATTCCCAGAATCCTCCAGTTTTGCTCTGTTGATCTGGAGTTTGGAGGTCCTCCTGTGGGAGACAACACTTGCAAAGCTGAGTCAGGGGAATCAGGGCAGGGAGGAAATAGCATGGAAACGCAACAAGTGGAAACATGGGGGACAGAGTCAGAGAACAGGGCAAGCATCAGCATGGCAACAGCTCTTTGCTTTGATAGGGAGACATAATCACTTACTCTGAGGCCAAATTTGAGGGGAGAAACACTGATTACAGTTTTAAAAAAGCATAGGGCCGAGTGTTACTGGCATACTCTCTAATAAAAGGGCTTATTGGTTTAACAGTTCAGGTGAATATACATCAATAGGAGGTTTTACTACAATACTTTTTCAAAGCCAGCTGTCATTATTAGCCAACCTGACTGAGAGAGAACCATGGATGTATTAAGAGAGTTGAATATGGCAGAGCTTGTAAAAAACCCTGTTGCCAAATTGTCTACAACTAAAAATATCTCATGAAAGAGCCCAAAAAGCATTTTTCCCATAGACTTTCATTAAAAAAAAGTATTCTGCAAAGGTTTGATCAGTACACCTCAAATTGCTAACAAAGTCAATTATGACTATTTGTGTAATGAACTGTTACATTTGTTTTTAAAAGAAACTGATACATCTCTATGGGGTAATTCCAATGTATGTTCACTGGCCTCGGAGTAACTAGTCGAAACATATAGGAAAACTGGTAAGAGAGATAAAACATCCATGGAACCAAAACATGGGATTGTGGGTTTTGCCAGGTTTCACTCGTCTTAAATTAAATAAGTGAAATGATTAACCGTCAGATGCTAAAATGCAGTGTTAAAATATCTCTGAGGTCAGTAATACAAAGGGCAATGTCTCGGTCAAGCAAACATTAGCCGGTGTCAGAACGTGACCAGTAGTAACATGTGAATGTATATCTTTAACGGTGGTTGTGTTTAATTGCCTCAAAGTGGAACTTTTTATCTCACTGAGACTCTTCTTGTTGAATAAAGTTTAAAATAAATAAATAAGAAAAGTTGATTTGCATAAATCATCATACTACATTTCATTGATTGAATTAACGTTTGTAGTCCAAAGCATTGAGTAAATGCTTTTATTCCACTTCTTTATTGATATAGGCTTTTAAACTTGTTTCAAATTGCAGTTTCATGAAAAACGGAATAAGCACATTCTCCCGATAACAGCATCCTTAGGAGTACCTCGGTCTATTTCCACCTTACACTGTATGTAAGGTTTATATGACATGGATGACTTATACTCACGAGGTGTTCTTTATTCTGAGTGTTTGGCTTTTCTTTAGCTCGTTGCCATCTTTGAACCATCTGAAGGAGAGAGAGCTCCCTTTGGCGCCACACTTAACTATGAGCCTGCCTCCCTCGTCCACTGTTATTGGATTCTTCATCGGTTGTTTTAACTTTGGAGCTGCAGCTAAAAAGGGGACAAAGAAAAAGGCATTGTTATTAACCACTGTCGACAAAGCAGGACAATCATGGTCTCTACGGACTGAGCAGATAACTCTCTCATGCGACCGCCAGATGTTGTCACTGGAGACATCATCAACCTTGTCTCGGACTAATAAACATGCTGAATTTCACTCTGGATTTGTTGCTCTAAAGACACCCTGAAGCAATATTTAGCAAACATGCCCAAGCTGATGAAGAACATTTGCAACCAAAGACAGATCCATTATTAAAAGTGGTAAATACAAAAAATCTAATAACACATTGAAAATCTAATAACCTGTTTGTTGTGAGTACAGCATCAAAAAGAAGACGTAGTCAGTAATAAAATAGTAGCACTTTCATCTGCTATCAAGTTAATTACTATGTTCATATTGTATAACAGTATATTATATCTGATGTGTGAGACAAAAATATGTTCACAAGTCACTTCATGCAACAGAAGAAAAACTAATTGAAATATGACAATGATCTTTGTCTAAACGCCCACACACACACACACACACACACACACACACACACACACACACACACACACACACACACACACACACACACACACTTGCCAGCTGACAGCTGCGCACATGTTTAGGAGAAGACTCATGCAGAGAGGAGCGAGGGAGAAGGGGTGAACAAGGGTCAACCAGGGGCTGTCCAAGATGCCCCCCCACTCCCCCTCACTCTCCCTCTATTACACACAAACCCACTCCCCCCGTTGTGTAACATTTACAATTCCATGCATATGCTTAACTGAGTGGTCCTACAAATTACAGCTGTGCATCTCCACTACAGCGATGGCTACAGAATGAAGACTAACAAAGCCTGACAAGCACAGAATAGTATACATAGGTAATGACTTCAATTAAACATTTAAAAAGTAGTGCACCAAAGTCGGCCCCCGTCTCCCTCTTTTGAGGAGACTGTCCTACTTCCCTGACCTAGTAAAGGTGACATGTCTGGAAAAAAAGCCTTATGATGCTGCATTGTTCTTTTTTTTTCTTTGCTGGTTTAAGGCGACCGCTGAGATGGATAATGGGGTACAGTGGGGTTTGGATTGACAGTGTGACATTTACAATGGTAAAGCACACACTTAAGCCGTTACGAAATAGTCTCTATCGTGATGTTCTGCAGTGTTCTGAAGTCACCGCTATGATTAATATCCTAATTCAGCTCACCACATTAGCCACATATACAAGTGTTCTCATGCACACAGCTTTGTAAGCCTGGCAGATACAAAGAGAAAATAAAGAGGTCTGTCAATGGTAATCCAGTAGTGTTTGGTACCTTGTGTGTGTGTGTGTGTGTGTGTGTGTGTGTGTGTGTGTGTCCTGCCATCTCTGGTCACTTGGCACTAATTCTCCTGATGGGAGTCAGAGGCGACTTCATGTCTCACGTAAAGGCCCATATTTGATGTATGATGTTTTCCTAAATCATTTAAGAAACATATTCTATAAATAGAATTAATTTAATTTGGATCTTGGGTGTTTACTGACATGATTCGCCAACATTTTGTCCCACTTTAAGAAGACGTTGTGCACATTTTCAGGTCCATATTTGTATTTTGTGTGACGTGTTTAGATACCTTAATGTTAAAAAAACAGAGCTATTTTTCTCATACTGCCTGTGCTGCAGCACCTTTGTTCACCCTCTGTCTGAAACCAGAGCCCAGTCTGCTCTGATTGGTTAGCTGGCCGGCTCTGTCGTGATTGGTCACTTAAAATTGTGGATCACTATCCAATAGAAGCGCAAGTGTTACATAGTGATGCCATGTCACAAAAGTAAATAAAACAGTCCAATGGAGGTGTTTCATGCAGGGGGGGGG